TCCTTAAATACTGAGAACACTAGCAATTTTTAACATCTCATCTGAACATTAATATTCATCCAAGAAACTATTTTCAACACAAACTGCTAATTATGTTTCTAATGGATAATCAACTATTGCATTTCCTAATTCTGTTAATGAAAAGTTTTCATCAATTAATTTTAAACTCATCAAAGTATTAATACTATTGATTAATTATTCATTAGATACAGGAGTCAAGAATGTATTACTACATTATAAATGATTTGGTGTTAATGAGAATGACTATAAATTATATATATTTGATATATTTACTCTAATTTATAAAATGAGTTCTGTTAGATTAGATCTCAATATTTCTGGTGGAAATGTCTTAGGTAAATTTTAATAATCCTCTTTTGTACATAATCTATAACATATTCCATCTCTTGTTCTTCCAGCTCTGCCTGCTCTTTAAGCACCAGATTGTTAAGAAATAGGTAAAACATTTAATTATTCCAAATCTAAGTTTTTTACATAAATTATTAATACTTCTCTTATAATCATATACTTTTACTTTTTGATAACATGAATCAATCACATATACTATTCCATCAATAGTAACACTACTTTCTGCAACATTAGTAGATACTATAATTTTTCTACTTGCATGTTATTTAAACACTAACAATTATTTATCAATTCCCAAATTAGCATGTAGTGGTAATACTACACAATTAGTCTTATGATGTGACCATAAATTAATAAATGCATGTATTTCTTCAACAGATGTTAGAAATACTAGTATATCTCCTTCAGGCATCTTTTTATGAATATGATATGCCAATTCAACAGAAGCAACCACATAATTTTTACATGGTTCAAGTAAATACATAATCTAAATATGATGTACATTATAATTACATCAACTTCATAATTCCTACCTCTAATTGCTATTATTTTACTATTAGGAAAAAAGTTTTATAATAAATCAACTTCCATTGTTGCAGATGAAACTATCACTTTCAATTCAGGTCTCTTTTTTTGAATCTTCTTAATTAAACATAATAAAAGATCTGTATTCAAAGTACGTTCATGAATATCATCAAGCATTACAACTGAATATCCTTCAATTAATGGATTGCCCATTATAATTTAAATCAATGTTCCATCAGTCACATATTCTATCTTTGTATTTTCACTCACTTTTGATTCAAATCTCACTCTATAACCAATATCTTATCCAAATTCAGTTCCATTTTCATCAGATACTCTCTAAGCAATACTAATAGCTGCCATCTTTCTTGGTAATGATACTAACACTCTCTATTCTCCACCATAACCAGCTTCTATTAAATATTATGGTATCTCTAATATTTATTAATTATTATGTACAAGTAGTTTTGCCTGACCCTGTTTCAGCTAAGATGATCAATGTACTATTAGTATCAATTCCATATAAAATTTATTCTTTATATGCTCTAATTGGCAGATTTTATGGATGACATTTTTTAGATTAAATAAGCATAATTAAAATAAACAAATCATTATTCAGGTACTACACTGAATATTTTCAATTCTCCATTATATTCTCCTACAATAAATTTCTAAGTAACCATATTTTCATTAGTAATTTCAATCTTCTTCATTTACATCAATTTCAAATTCAAAATCACATTTATTGAATATAATTTATTATCAATTTCTGTATAGATCTCAACAGAATCACTAAGTCCAAGAATAAACAATTTATCATTTTCATAACTTTTTATTAATTCTAAACAAATAACTTTTTCTCCATTATAAATAGGTCCAATTATCTCTAATTTCTAATTCAATATATATATTGATGTTTAATCATCATCATCCATCTTCAAAATTACTCTATTGAAGTCTATAATCATTTATGTACATTTCTAAGTAAATTTAAATGGTATCTCAGTAATAATGATTCCATTAAATAAATATAGTTAACCACTTTTCATTCCAATTAAATAATTACTTCCAACTTTTATTACACTCTCCATACATTATTCAACATTGTAATGTTAAATATACTTGAATTATCCTATCACATTCTATTAGAATATTCTTATTAAACCATCTTTACAAAATGTATATAGTAATCCATCCTCAAAATTTGTATAAACTATTTCTTTCATTGAAATATCAGATATTATCTAAGGAAACTACTGCTGAAACACATTATGAAATATTAATAAATTCTTTAATGATTCCTCTTCTTTTTAAAATTATATCACAAGTGTATATACATTATTTTAATGCTCTTATATAAATGCAGAAATAAATTATTTATCTAAATGACTAATTGTTACTTTCTTTTCTTCATCTATTATTTCAATTCCACTTCTTTTAAATAGAATTTAATAAAAATCAATTGAATTTGATTTTAAAATACCTAAAAATTAATAATTATATCCTGCTATTTAAATAAGATTATCTATATTTTTCTTTTATTCTAAATTTAAGACTTAATACCTTTTCTTTACTTAAATTTCATTCTTTTTTACTTTCTTTATTATACTAACAGTTTCTATTTACTATTCGCTCTAATTTCCTCTATATTACTCTTTCTCTTTATCTTATATTTAATCTCTTCTTGTAAATGTATTTTCTCTACCTCCTCTTCCTCTTACATTAGTATTTTAACGAAATTATTTATAATCATCTTCATTATCTATATTTTCATGTCTTTACCATCTCTCAGAATTAACATTATTTCTCTCTCTATTTACAAATTAATCAATCTAATTTTCCTATTAATCCAAATTTCGATCCTATTTCTATTTTATTTATCTATTCTCATTCCCTTCCAATTGTTTTCCAAATTTTTAGACATTTTTTTATTCATATGAATTATTTTATTATTGCTATCTTTATTTATAATCAACCCTTTCACTTTTATCTATTTTATTATAGTCTTTAATTTATTCCTCATCTTGATATCTATCTATCTACCCTCTTCCTCTGCCTCTAACATTTTTTCTGTTTTATGATTAATAACCATTCTTCAAATTCAATTTTCCCCTCTCATCTCTAACTAAATCAACTTTCTCAATATTTGATGTATCATGAGAATATTTACATTGATCTCCTTCTCTACAATTTCCTTGTACATAAAATCTGCATGGAGCATCAAATTTAGCATTCATATATATATATATTTGTTAATAAATTAATAATAAATTTCCTCATTACATAATAGTTTTGAAAATGATAAATTTTTTCAAAAAGATTGATCATTATAAATTGCACTTATATAAAATATAACAAGATTGCTTAAGAAACTTTTTCTTATCAAATAATTCTACTATCATTAAAAAATTGATTTTTTTCTAATTCTTTTTAAGAAATAGATGACTAAGTTTGTAATTCTTATTTTTTGTTTACTTGTAACAAATAAAATATTCCCAATTTAAAGTTGATTGATAATATATTAATATCATAAAATAGAATATTATTATTAAAAATGAATAATAATGATCTTCTGGTTAAGCAGTTTGAAGTATTAAAAAAAGATGCAACAACAGCAATGTAATAGTTAGCAAGTAACTTTGTTGTCTAATTTGTTAGAGGATTATAATAATGTTTAATTAGTAAATCTAGCAATTGAATTAAATTCATTATTAAAAAAATATGAAAATGAAAACCATAGATTAAGGAATGAAATAGATTAATTACAACTTTAGATTACTTCAGATATACGTATAAAAGAGTTATAATAAAATTTGGATGTTGCAAACAATAGATATTATAAAATTTTTGAGCAATATCAGAATTCTTAGTAAGAGAATGAGAAAATTGAAAAATAAAGAAAAATTATAGAAAAAAAAACGAACGAATTTATTTCTGGTTTAAAGTAATAATATGAGGAGGCCCAATAAAAATTAATTTAATTTTACAAAGAAAATTAAAGTCAAAATGTAGATAAGGATCTTGTATTTCCTCCAAATCAATAATACTAGAAAGAATTTGAATATTTTAAAAAGAGTTTTAAAGATGTTTCAGTTTAATGTAGTTTTATAATCAAAGAATTTGAAAAATCTATAAAATAAGCTAAAGAAGAGTAAGTTAGTGATGATGAAATATATACCTAAAACTTATGATCTTATCAGAATGTTTTAACTAAAAATATGAAGGCAAAATAAGATATAGAAATGTTGATAAAGAAATTTGCCGATTTTAGATAATAGTCAAATATCACCGATGATAAAACTAATAATATATTGGATTAAAATGGAAGAATGTTATAGATATAAAACGTTATCTTGAATAAGTTTCATGATATTTTTAAAAAAATGTATGAGGATTTGATGTGTCTTGAGAAAAAATATAAAAAATTATAAAATGATTATAATGAATTAAATGAGAAAATTAAGAAGTAAGCCTAAATCGATAAGTAAGAGATAGGAAATTAATAACCAATTATTCAATCAATAAAATAATCATAGAATTTGAACAATATGAAGTAAAGTAAAAAAAATCAAATATTTGGTAAATTATAATTATAATTTAGTAAAATTTTATAAGCTTAGGAATTTATTGAAATTTTCTAATGATGAATTTCATCAAATTTTATTATTGTTTGTTTCTTAAGGATTAACTATTGCCGATTTGAAATTGAGATAAGAGGGTTAAAAATAAGTAGTGTAAATGGTTAATAATTTGAAATCATCCATTTAAGATACGAAATCTATAAGTTTTTAAGATTTAATAAACGAGTTTTTAAAGTTCAAATAATTTTTCGATGATCTAAAATAATGCATAAATGAAAAAAATAATCTGATTGATGTAATCGATATTTAAGATAAATTCTTCATAAATTATGAGACGACCATAAAACATTTTGTTGAAATTGAGAAAATCTATAATTAAATTGATTTGGGTATTTAACAATGAATAGATGAAGTAAAATGGTTAATGAATTAAATACATAAATAATAACTAAATATGATATGTAATTCAATAGTATTCAAAATAAATAATAAAAATATATATATATAATGATATCTGAAAATGAGAGTACTAGAGTTTTATTGGCAATTGTATAGAATCCTTAATCAATTATACTTCCTCATTCTTTATTCTATCGATATTTTTCAAATTATGGAGAAGTTAACAAGATATTAATATTTGAGAAAGGAAAGTTATGGAAATGTTTTATAGAGATGGCAACTTTATAATAGGCTAAGATTTCATAATAATAATTAAATGGCTGTTAATTGTATGATTAAACAATAATGAATGTGTAAAATAATCTAAATGATTTATAGTTACTATTCAACATTACAGAATGTCACATTTCTGAATAATAATTCAGGTGGTGTAGATTATAAGGCAATTAAATAAAGAAATTCAACCCAGACTTTAAATCTTTATGAATAAGATTATTATCCAAAGACATATAGTCAACCTTTAATAACTCAATAAGATACGAGATTAAGTATGGCTAGTTTTGGTGAGAGAACAAGAGCTAGCTTAAATGATAAATAAGATTTTTAAGATTATATTAATGAATGGGAATCTTCAAAAATATAAACATCGCTGGAATTTATAGATGATAATGATTCTCCTAGGAATAGAAAATATGCATCATTTAAATCAATTTAATTTGATGATAATGAACATGATCCAATAGATGAAGATATAATGCATGCATTCTCATCTGAAAAGAATACTTATTTAAATTCTTATATGTTTTCAATACCAGAAGTAGAAGATAAGATTAAGAATTAAGATATTGATCCATATACATATGTATCACCATAATTCTTAAGAGAAAATTAACCTTCCAAAGTTGTTTATATGAGAGGGTTAATGAATTAGAATATTACACCATTAAACATATTTAATTTACTATCAAATTTTGGAAATGTATTAGTAATTATTCATATCAAACATAAAACATCAGCATTAGTATAATTTGAGAAATTATAACATGCTTAAAATGCACTTGATCATCTTAATAATTAAGTGTTTTTTGGATATAAATTAAAGATCTTTTATTCAAATTATTAAGAAATTTAATTTCCTTTACCATTCCAATCACCTTAAACTTAAGTCTTTATGCCAATTCCATCTTAATTTAGATTTAGTGATGGAAAATCAATATCATTTAATCCACCTAGTCAAATACTACATTTGAGTAATATCAAAGGAAAGATGTGTGAAGATGAATTATATATTAAAGATATTTTTAAAGGAATAGGAAATGTTTAAGCTATCAAATTTATACATATTGACAAGTAAAATAATATATATAATATAGATAAAAACATATGGCATTAGTAAGATTATCATCATTAGAAGAAGCATTGAATGGAGCAGCTTTACTTCATGGAAAAGAATTTATGGGCAGAAAGATCAATGTTTCATTTACAAAAAGTAAATTATGCTGAAATTTAACAGAGTCAGCTTTTGCTCAAGTATTATGACTTTCTAAAACAATATAATTATTAATTATCCTTTTTTTATATATTTCATGCTTTTACACCAGATGATGTGAAAATATCTTCAGTTTTCTTTTCTACTTCAGGTTCAAATTAACATAATTATAAACTTCTTTAGAATTGACTTATTCTTTTAATAATTCTAGAATGTAAATAGGTCTTAGAAGCATGAATATGATAATGTAAATATTATCTAATTATAATTATTAATATTATAATTACCTAAATCCTTATAAAAATGTAGATAATTATTCTATATTTTTACTAAAATGTTATGCCTTAAATAATGTCATTGTTATTAATTATGAATTTGGATCCACTTTGATATTTTAAACTTCTGGAAATGCTGATTTTAATATAGATGATTAATAATTAGATCTTGAAATAGGTGGTGCCATCTTAACATTTTTCTTAGCATCAATTATCTCTGTAATTATTAAATTAGCTAATGTTTTATCTACATTATCAGAAAATGATATTTCATAGAATATATTCAAAGCATCTTAATCAGGAATAGCATAAACAACTTCATTCTCTCTACTTTAATATTTAAATTTAGAAGCTGTTTGTCCTTTATTGATTTGATCAAATGCCTATTCAAATGCAGATGCATAAAAATTTCTTCTTATTTATGAAAAATCTTTAGTGACTTTCTCAAACAATTTCTAATTTTCTGCTCTTATCTATAATTTAATTTCTTAAATTTCAGCTTTTTCTGCTTCAGTTGCATTTTTTTGAATCTTAGGTTCTTCTTTAGCTGATTAAACATTAAATGAAAATGTCAAATGAAATCCAACATCTGGATCTTCTTTAGTGTAATCTATATTTTATAAATAATTAATTACCCTTATAATATTTATCAATCATGTAATTACCTGCTATACTAAATATCTCATTAAAATTAAAACAAGTAAATGATAAAAATAATCTACCATTTTCCTTATATTACAATTTTGTGCATGAATAATTGTAATCCTTTGCAACCACAATTCTTGGATCCTTTTTCCTATACTCATTATATATATAATTACATGATTAAATCCATAATCTATGTTTAAAGTAGTTTATTCTATGGATCTATGAGCATCATTTGTTTTTTATTATTTAATTAATTATATTATATTCTTTATCTATAATATTTATTTTAATATTAATTATTTATATTAATATATATCAATTAGTTTATGCGCTCNCTTTTACACCAGATGATGCAAAAAGATCCTCTGTTTTCTTTTCTACTTCAGGTTCGAATTAACATTATTATAAGCTTCTTTGGAATTGACTTATTCTTTTTATGATTCTAGAATGTAAATAGGTCTTAGAAGCATGAATATGATAATGTAAATATTATCTAATGATAATATTTAATATTATAATTACCTAAATCCTTATAAAAATGTAGATAATTATTCTATATTCTTACTAAAATGTTATGCTTTAAATAATGTCATTGTTATTAATTATGAATTTGGATCCACTTTGATATTTTAAACTTCTGGAAATGCTGATTTTAATATAGATGATTAATAATTAGATCTTGAAATAGGTGGTGCCATCTTAACATTTTTCTTAGCATCAATTATCTCTGTAATTATTAAATTAGCTAATGTTTTATCTACATTATCAGAAAATGATATTTCATAGAATATATTCAAAGCATCTTAATCAGGAATAGCATAAACAACTTCATTCTCTCTACTTTAATATTTAAATTTAGAAGCTGTTTGTCCTTTATTGATTTGATCAAATGCCTATTCAAATGCAGATGCATAAAAATTTCTTCTTATTTATGAAAAATCTTTAGTGACTTTCTCAAACAATTTCTAATTTTCTGCTCTTATCTATAATTTAATTTCTTAAATTTCAGCTTTTTCTGCTTCAGTTGCATTTTTTTGAATCTTAGGTTCTTCTTTAGCTGATTAAACATTAAATGAAAATGTCAAATGAAATCCAACATCTGGATCTTCTTTAGTGTAATCTATATTTTATAAATAATTAATTACCCTTATAATATTTATCAATCATGTAATTACCTGCTATACTAAATATCTCATTAAAATTAAAACAAGTAAATGATAAAAATAATCTACCATTTTCCTTATATTACAATTTTGTGCATGAATAATTGTAATCCTTTGCAACCACAATTCTTGGATCCTTTTTCCTATACTCATTATATATATAATTACATGATTAAATCCATAATCTATGTTTAAAGTAGTTTATTCTATGGATCTATGAGCATCATTTGTTTTTTATTATTTAATTAATTATATTATATTCTTTATCTATAATATTTATTTTAATATTAATTATTTATATTAATATATATCAATTAGTTTATGCGCTCATTTTAATTTCTTTCTTAAATGAATCAACATTTTGCTCATATTCTTCAATTTAAAAAAAAAATTTTTCTATGCTATCAACAGATTTTATGATATATTAATTAACTATTGAATTATTAGGAATTCTTTTATAAATCTCCTTAAACAAATTAATACTTCTTAACCATTTTTATTTTTAAGTATCATCATCCTAATTAATGTCTTGACTTTCAATACTCTTGATAAAACTTTATATATCGTGTAATAAATCTTGATCTGGTGAAATATTTGAGACATCAGTCACATTAGGAAGCAATATTTTAATTATATTTGAAAATTTATATATTTCCTTTTTTACTTAATCATTGAATTCTTTGAATATATTATTAAATTTATCTAATTAATTTACAAATAATACTTGATATATTAATCATTTAATTTGGAAGTAATTATTATTCTTTCTTATTATACTCCTTCAACTATTTGATTTAATCTTATAATTATTGTTTTATATCACTATTTTCATCCTGCATTTTTCTCAATTAACCTTCAAGTTCGTTAGTTTTTTAGACTTATGTCATTTGATTAAGCATCTCTATTATCCTTTAAAAAATATTTTAAATGTAAATAAAGCATTCTTGGTTCTTACTCAATTATTGTAATAAATCTTAAATTGTTTTATTTTCTTTATTTTGCACAACACTATTTACCTATTTTATTAATCTTGTTATTCCATCATCGTAAGACTTTATGGCATTTTATGATTTTCTAATTAAATTGATAATGTTTTATAAGTCATCTCCATCAAATGATTAATTCTTAATATTTTGTTACACTTTTTTATCTGATTGAATTTGTGGAAATTTTTCTAATGTTACTTACATAAGTTCTATTAATTACTATCTCTAATTATTAATATCTATTATTTTCTCCCTAAATTATTAACAATCTATTTCAATGTTTATAGAATTTTAATTCACAGATTGTAATTGATTCTCTAAAAGGATTTAACTCGTTTTTTTATTCTATTCTATTTACTTTTATTAAAGTTATTTTAAATTATTAATTTATTCGTAATTTTGTTAAAACAGTTGATTATTTACAACAATTAATTTATTACATTTTGTTGTCAATTATTCGATTTAATCCTCCAAAAAATAAATTTTGTTTTATAAATCAACAATTTAATTCTATTAACTGTTTGATTGATTATTTGACTTATCTTCAGATTATTATATATCTACCCTAACTCTATTCATTATAGATTATATTATTTTGTAATCATTTAAACAAACCTTGTCAAATTCCCCTTCTTGACATTTCCTCCCTGATAAACTTAACAGATTAGTAATAGCACTTCTTAATGTTGTTATTGAATCTTGCAGATTTTTATTTTATTTTTGAATTTCTTAAAAGTAATTGTATAAATCATAAAGCTCTTATGCGACGACGTCATTGGGTTTCATTTAAACTAATTTATCTTGATTATAATATACCTAATTAAGATGTAGCAGAACGTTTATCTTTCAATAAAACAGTCTCAATTGAGGCATTCATCTTCCAAGATTAACTCATATAAAATAAATAATAATCTTAATTTGCAATTTGCAATTTGTAATTTAAATTACTTAATTTAAAAATATATTCGTTGATATTTTGAATTTTAAATTCTTATTTTTATTATTTTTTATATTGAATTGAGTTATATCAATAAGTTAAATAGTTTTAGTATATATGGATTTAGTGTAAACACTAAATTGGATTTAATCAAAATTTTATTAGATCACTATGAATTTTATATTTATTATTTCTACATTTCACTAATTAATTAATAAATTTTCATTATATAAATTTCTGTTTTATTTTAAGAAAAAATAAATAAGAATACATTTATCATGAATATTGAATTTATATAATAAATAAATAAATGTGATCTAAATATATTAATACTTATATTCATTTTTATTTTAGTATTAGAATTAATTTAATCATTTGTTATATTTTTTTAAGTATTTTATGTTCATGAAATCATTAATAAATTTATATGTTTCTTTTACACAATCATATTAAATTTTTATTCTATTATTATATGAATATTTTTTGATTATATTAATTTTCTTTATATTAGTTTATTTAAATACCTCCTATCTATTTTATTAAATTTTTACATTAACTTTAGATCCTATTTTAATGTTTATGTTCGAAAACAAATATTTCATTTTATTAATATAATATCACAATACATTTATTTGTCATCAGTCAATATTGAATTAATTATTTAGAATCTATGGATCCTATTTAATAAATTCAAGTATATATATATGAAAAATAATATTTATTGTAATTAAATGTATATAATAAGAAAGACATTATAAAATTTATGATAATGTTTTGTATCATGAAAAAGTAGTTTAAAATAAATTAAAATGAATTCATTGGTTGATATTTATTCATTATTAATTTCAACCAATACTTTTATATATAAATTATAGTTTATAACTCACAAATTATTAATTAATTATTCCACACATTAAAATAAATTAAAAAAAATGTCTAAAATCACAAAACCCATTTAAGCACCCAACAAATTTGTTAAAACTAACCAAGGTGCACCAATAAAAAAACAAGACTCTGATTCTGATGAATTGAGTGATGTTCCTCCTCCCCCAAAAAAATAATAACAAAAGGCAGTTGTTGGAACAACTAAAGTAGTTGCTAAAGCACCACAAGTAGATTCAGATGAGTAAGATGAACCAGTTAAGTTGGTATAAACAGTCAAAAAAGGCAGTTTTGATGCTACAAAGTCAAACACCACAAATTAAAATGTCCCTAAGTAGACATAAAAGAAGCCTGTATAAGAAGATGATGATTCTGATGATGTTCCACCTCCTCCAAAGAAGGGAGCAGTCGTTTAAAAAAAGCCTGTTAAATAATAGGATTCTGATGAGGAATCAGATGATGTCCCTACTCCCCCTAAAAAAGTGACAGCCCCAGTTAAACAAGCTACTAAACCAGCTGTTTAAACAAAAGTCCCAGTTAAATAATAAGTTTAACAAGATGATTCTGATGAAGAATCTAATGATGTCCCTCCCCCAAAAAAACCTGTTGTTGCTGCTAAGCCAGCTGTTTCAAAGCCAGCTGTCTAAACAAAAGTCCCAGTTAAACAATAAGTTTAATAAGATGATTCTGATGAAGAATCAGATGATGTCCCCCCTCCTCCAAAAAAGACAGTAGTTGCCACAAAACCAGTTGCTAAACCAGTGGTCTAAACAAAGGCCCCAGTTAAACCATAAGTCTAATAAGAGGATTCAGATGAGGATTCAGATGATGTTCCTCCTCCACCAAAGAAAGGAGTAGTGCCTGCTAAACCAACTGTTGTTGCTACAAAACCAGCTGCTAAGGCCCCAGTTAAACCATAAGTCTAAGAAGAGGATTCAGATGAAGATTCAGATGATGTTCCCCCTCCCCCCAAAAAAACAGTTTAATAAACTAAGGCTCCATAAAAGACTCAATAAATTGAATAAGAGGATGAAGATGAAGATGATGATGCTCCTTTACCACCAAAATAATAATAATAACCTTAAAAGCCAGCTCAATAAGCTTAATAAGGATAATAAGATCATGAAGTCTTTGTAAGGGGACTTTCATTTGATGCCACTGAAGATGATATCAAAGAATTTTTCAATGAATGTGGAAATATAAACAGTGTTAATTTGTTGAAAGGACCAAATGGAAACTCAAAAGGAATTTGTTTTGTTAGATTTTCTTCTGAAGATGCTTAAAATGCAGCTGTTGAATATAGTGGCTCAGAACATATGGGAAGAACTATAACTGTTGAGAAGACTAAACCAAGAGATTAAAGACCCTAATAAGGAGGTTAATAAGTAGGATCAGGTGAAAGTACAACATGCTTCATTGGAAACTTAAGTTTCTATGCTACTGAAGACTCATTGTATCCAGTTTTTGAAGACTGTGGTAAAATTAAGGAAGTAAGAATTGCTAAAGACGCAGAAGGAAAGGTATAATAATTGTATTAATATTTTAGTCAAGAGGATTTGGATATGTTGAATTCTTTGATAATGCTTCAGCTCAAAAGGGACTCTCAAAGACCGGAACTGATGTTGAAGGTAGAGCTATTAGAGTTGATCTTGCAAATTCATAATAAAGAAGTGGTGGTGGTAACAGAGGTGATAGAGGTGGCTTCGGAGGAAGAGGAGGCTACGGCGGAAGAGGCGACAGAGGAAGCTTTGGAGGCGGTTTCGGAGGAAGAGGCCGTGGAGGTGATAGAGGATTCTCAAGAGGAGGCAGAGGAAGAGGAGGAAATTTAGATGCTAATGATATTGCTGCTAAAAAGGGAACTATTGCTGGATTTGCTGGAAAGAAAATGGCTCTATGATATTATAATATAATAAATCATAAATGTTTAGAAATTTCTAATTTTAATTTCTTTATAGTATTCATGAATTAATTATGAATTTTCATATAGAAATATATTTAATAATAAAAAAAATAGAATTAGGATTGATTTTATTCAATTGATTTAAAGGAATAATGGTATGTAAATTAAATAAATTGCATTAATTATAAGTATAATTCACAATTTTTATAACTTATCTATTGACTTATGTAAGTATTAATTGATATGTTTTAAGCGAGAAATTTCTAACTTTTAAGAATCAATAGTTTCTTTTTATTCTTTAAACTTAACTTCATAATCTTTGATTTTTTATTACAATAATTTTCTTTCTTCTAAATAGTTTAAATGATCATCTAATATTAACAATTGCTTTCTAATTACACTTTATTTATTGTTCTCTTCATCATTTTATATGTATTCTTATTATTATTTATCTTATTTGTTCAACCTATTGATAATTTTTATGTTTACATATTCTTAAGTCTCTTGATTTCTTGATCTTTCTCTTACTTTTCTTCTTCTAAAGTTATTAATGCTGACTCATAAATCTATATTTTATTCTCTAAAATCTACTCTCTTTCACTAATTTATTTCTTTTCATCCACTTCTTCTAAATGATCCAATTCTTGGTCTTCTTTTTCTTATTATTATGTTTGTTATTAAAATTCAGCAGAAAAACTAAAACGATTATCTTCTTTTGGTTTCTATAGTTATCTTAAACTTTAGTTAATAAGATTATTTAGACTCCTACTGGATTTAGATAACTCATCATGCATATCTAATAGTCTATTGTAAATGTCTCCTTGACTGAATGAAGATGATCTATGAGAAAACTTCATAATTGCATTCATTAAATAGAGAATTATAATAATATGAATCAGAGTTGTTTTTAACTTTTCTTCTCAAAATTCTCCAACCATTATTTATATTTTTATTACATTAATACAAATTAGAAATGTGCTTCCTCTATAGTTTCTTCTTCTAGTTCTTATGTTTTTTTCGAGATGTAGGATGTTTAAGAAGTTGGATTTATATTTATCAATTTTCTTTTAGCTTATTAAGTATTTTTTAAAACTGATATTTCATCATCAGTTCCTAGTTAATGATAGAATGACTCCAATACTGTGATTCTAGTTTTACGAGCATATGTTTCTTAAATGTTTGTTTATTTTCTTATCTCTTCATGTTTTCCTGGTGTGAAAAATCTAGTATTTTTTAATTTAAAAGAGGGACTCTATCTTATTTGATTTACATCTTGTTATTTATTCTGACATTTTAAGTAATTAAAGTTACCAACAATTTATCTTCAGCAGAGTTTTACATAATCATTTTTGGAGTTTAAAAACTACTATTATTATCTAATCTTCCACACCTTATAACACTTCCACCTTTTCTATTGCTTTAAAAATATGGATTTACTCTTGTACCTACTATCATTTTTTTTATTAATAAAATAAATATACATTGTATTTAACTACATTATTATCAATAATATTATATAGATGATATTTTGTTGTAGTTTTAATATTTTGAATTTTTCTAAATTTATTTTATTGTCATCTAAATATGGAATTGATTATTTTAATAATATTAATCATTTTTTCTTTTATGGGCCAATGTTTTGATAGTTGTAGAGAAAGCAAATCAGATAGAGTTTCATTGGAATCCTAAAATAAAGTAAGCATCTAAGAAAAAGTGTATGATAATTATAGAAATAATTTTACTACTCAATTGAGTGAATTTAATGACAAAGAATAAACATAGAAAATTGATATTACTCATTTTAAATTAATAAAGACATTAGGAAAAGGAGCTTGTGGAAAAGTATTATTAGTGAAAAAAAAGAACAATAATACACAATATGCAATGAAAATAGTATCAAAATAGAGAGCCAAAGAGGAATATATTTAAGCAGAAAGATTTATATTATAGCATATTACACACCCCTTTATTACAAAACTCCATTATGCTTTTTAGAGCAATACTAAACTGTACTTAATTATGGATTTCTGTTAAGGAGGAGAACTCTTTTTTCATTTGAGAAGAGCTTACAAATTTACAGAAGAATAATCAAAATTTTATATTTGTGAAATTATAGTTGCATTAGAACATCTACATAAAAATAAAATATTGTATAGAGATTTAAAACCAGAAAATATATTAATATGTTCAGATGGTCATATTAAACTTATAGATTTTGGATTATCAAAAATATTAACAGATATCAAAACTAGATCTCATTCAGTTGTTGGTACACCTGAATATTTAGCTCCTGAAATATACTAAGATGATGGATAAGGACATGATGAATAATGTGATTGGTGGTCTTTAGGGGCCCTATTATATGAAATGTTGACTGGAGCTGCTCCATTCTATAGTGTAGATAGAACTCTAATGTTTAGAAATAGATTGGAAAAACCCTTAGATATCAAACCTTGGTTTAGTGAGGAATGTAAATCTCTATTATAAGGTTTATTGAATAATGATGTAAATACAGGATTATATTATTTTTAGGCTAGTTAAAGGTTAGATGTTAATTAAATAAAATCACATATTTTCTTTAGGGGTATAGATTGGGAAGGAGTTATTTATAAATAATTGGAACCTCCTATAAAATTGGAATTGAAAGGACCTTCAGATTTATAATATTTTAATAGGGTAGTAAAATAAACTGATTTTAGATGTTTATAGATGAACCAGCTATAGACAGCCCTGAATCATTAAAAAATGGAAAGACATATGAGAATTTCAGTTTCGAAGAAGATGAGTCTTGATTTATCTATTTAATTTGATATAATTAATTACAAATATAGTTAAAATCATTATTAAAATCTGCTAGCACCATATCTAACTTCTAATCTAAGATTATCATCAATTGTTAATCCTGCACATACTTTAACTAAATTTTCAAGCATGGCTCTTTATCTTGATAGAGAATTAATAGTAGTGATTCCACTCTCTGATTTTGGAGCTTTCATTAAATAACTCAACCAAGATAAGACAGTGTCAAATCTTTAATATTCAGAAGCATCCTTTTAAAATTATATTCTCTCAAACAATTCACATAACAATAATAGATCCATAATCAATGGAGCGGCTAATAATGAGTCTTCACAAACATTGTAAACTGCAAAAGTTTATCTACCTCCTAAGAAGATTTCAGCAATGTATTCATCCATAGCCTTCTTACTATCACCAGTTTCAGGACAGTATTTAATGACAATAGTATGATCAATGTTTAATTCTTCTTCTGTTGGATATAATACTTTATTGGATTCCAAAATATCATCAACACAAGTCTTCTTACTTCTTTCCTTGCTTTTGAAACAAGATTCTTATGAAAGATTCTTTCCATCATTGTTTCCTAAATGATTATATGAGATGATGGCTTTTGGTTTAATACCAGCACCTACTAAATATTCAACTAAACAAGTCTTAAATTTGGTTTATCCTGTTTTGAAATCATCTCCAGCAACAAAAACACCAGCTTTTTCTGCTAATTCAATAACACCTGGAACAATAGTATTTTAAGGTGATCCATTAATGAATGAACATCCTTCTAAACAAGCAGCACATGCAAAGATCGTTGATGCGCTAATTTCTGGATGACTTGATTCAATTGATTTTAATAATTTTTCAGCTGTTCCATGAATATTTGGATCTTCAACACAAAATCTTTCTGTATTTGCTGTCCATAAGAGAATTACTTTATCCAAATTATTTTATTATTTAAAATCTGCAATATTCTTTCTAATTATATTAAGATGTTCTAATTTATTATTTCCTGGTATAACATTATCTGCTCTATCACCTTAATTTGCTGCAATAAAATCTGGATAATAGATTGAAGGTAATGGAACCAACTTTTCTAAATATGGTCTCAATTTTTATTGTAAATCGTATTCTACTACTTATGCTCTATTCATTGCATCAGCTAAATTCATTGAACTGATATCCCATCCACCAAATACTATATCACATGGATTAACCATAGGTAAAACATCTTTGAATGGAACAAATACTTCTTCAGTATTGCATGTACCAATCTTAATGACACTACTTTATGTTAGTGAACCATAGAAATTTGGTTAATGAGTTCCTCTTCTACTATTCCATGTAATATTGAATTTATTTGCCAATATACCGCCAGTTAGTGTTGTACCATTATTTCCACCCCATCCTACAAGCATAACACCTAATTTTGGAATTCTTGTATCAGTCTTAAATTTGAAATTTGTAATTTATGGTTTAGCTATGTACTTGTCTCCATTCTTTTCAATGTTGGTTGATTTATAATCATAGTTGGAAATTAAGAAGTGATCATCTTATTGTGTAGTGGTTGATTAGACTTTCATTGATTGAATTAATTATTAACCAAATAAATACAAATTAGTATTTGTAAACATTTGAGTGCGCATAAATTTTACAAATTATTAACAAATGCGTATTTATTAATAAGAAGTGCGCACTTCATTAAAAATAATTATAATTTAATTAATTATAAATGCGTATATAAGATAAATTATAATTATTAATATTGATAAATAAATTATAATTATTAAAAATTATTAATATACATTTAATTAATTAATTTTAATATTATAATGATACTATTTATAGATAATTTATCATAAATAAATTAGTAGTTTAATTCTGTTGTTTATTTTTTAATTTATAAACCTTATCATCATTTTTAAAGATATTCTATTTTGATATATATGTTTTTTATGAAAGATACATAATTCTTTTTTTATTTTTAATACAGTAGATTGTCAAATATTGAATTAAAGTAATCATATGATAATATATATATAAAAACGGGTTAACTAAATCATAAATGCATAAGCATTAACTCAGACTAATAGTTAGCTATCTGTTTGAGAAGTATTTCAGATGTGGGTAACTTTTTTATATTGTTTTAATGATATGCCTTGAGACAAAGATTTAACTTAATCATAAGCATGGTTCTTTTGTCCAAATATAATTTTTGATCTAAAAGATAGTCTAATTATGTAATATCATTAGTATTAATGGTTATTACAGAAGATTTAGAAGTTCTGATGTTGAATTGGTATAGACAAGGATTTTATAGTTTTTTTGGTTATTTGAGTACTTCTTATTCTTCATCATGAGAATTGGCTTTGGTTGTAATCAATGATTAAGGTGGAGATACTTCAGATGGCTTAATAACAGGAGGAGGAATGTATTTGATGGTCTTCTTGATTTTTATAGTCATGGCAGCTTTAATGATTTGTTAGAGAATATTAATGATACGCAATAGTCTTAAGAGAAGAGTGGCAGCGTAGATAGTATCTGTATTAGTAATAATCTCTAAGATAACAAGGAGATCGAAGAACATGAAGCACCCATATATAAATTGAAGTGGATCTTGGAAATTACGAAAGTATTTATAAATATCTGGGGTAAGTAGTGAGGCTACTACATATCTCACCTAGCTAAGGAACACCATCATACCTTGGTGTCTGAGTAATTATTGTACTCATGAATGAGTGAAAATCTCAATACTCCTTAAGCTGGTATTTTTTAAGGCAACCTCAATCTATCCAATAATAGAACATTCAATGTCAGTTCTACACTTCCCCAAATTAGTTCACTTAAGTTTCCCTCTATCATAGATCCGTTTTAATATATTAATAAATATTATAAATTATCATATTTTCCCTCTTGTAGCAAAGTAAAATGCCAATCCAGCCAAACAACCACCCAAATGAGCATCATGACCAATACCACTTCCATCACCTTATCCTGACCAACCTTAGTATAATATTAATAATCCCACTATCCATGCTGGTACAGGAATAAAGAACAATAATATTATTTCTCTAGGAAAATTGCAAATATAATATGTTAATAAAGCATTGCATGCAGCACTTGCACCTAATGATATTCCTGCTTATCTTGATTACATTAATCCTCCTACTAATGCTCCTGCCATATATATTGCTAATAATCTTTTTGATCCAAAATATGCTTCTATTGTCCTTCCAAAAAAATAAAAAGTCACCATATTAAATACTTAAAATTTCTAGAAATTTTTACATAAATGTAATGTATTTTAATGTGAAAATGAATATGTTATAAATGTATGTAATTCTCTTAAACTCATAGATCCTGGATGAAGAGTGAAATGATTATACATAAAATTCTAATTTATATTTAATAAACATTCACCTTGTCAACTGCAGGAAAATGCCATAATGCATATACACCAACATTTATTCCGATTAAATAAAAGTAAAGAGGCATTTATAATCTATCTAAAAATCGATCTACTTATCCATATTAAAATTGTGGCTTATGATTAAGTAAGTAAGTTTGTTTTAATTATTATGGTGATTTTGATAATAATTTTGCTATTTTTATCATTAATAATAATATTAATACAATGAACAATATTTCAAATCTAATAGGATAACGACGAGATTTAAAACAATCTAAATAGTCTCCATCTAATAATAAATAAACATCTCAATAAATTTAAATATATGATCAATTGAAGAATTCCTTAAAATGTGACTGTTAAAAACAAAATAATAAAGATTACACTCAATATCAAATATTTGAATATAAAACTTAAAAAGAACTTGAATTTTTAATGTAATATATCTAATAAGCATGTATTCATAATCCTTAATGTATTCATGAATAATTATTTGAAAAAAATTAACAAAATAAAAAATTCAGATAATTATGCGATTTTCGAATTGATTGGACTAAGCTTATTATAAAAGCTGAGAAACAATTTGAAAAAGCTATTGTCAAAAAATAAATGGCTATCAATTATTAACCTAATAATGATTGCTTCAAAATAATTATCTTAGAAGCCATAAATAATAAAGAAAACTCTCTTAAAATGCTTATCGATAAATCAAAATAAGAATTATAATTTATAGAATATGCTAAGAGATTAGCCATTAAGTTATAATAGAAATTGGATTGTCCAGAATCATTATTATGTTAATTTGAAGATGTGTAAAATCGTAAGAAATACATTCATCCTCCATCTATTTGGTCGATTATGAATTGTTCATGTAATACTACTAGTATAATTTGATAATAGTCATTTGCTCTTTAATTATTCTTTTAATTCAATAATTTCTTGTTATAACAATTTTATGAACTATTCTTAATGTGTCATTTAAGCCTTTGTGATTTCATCTCTTATCTATTCTTACAATTAATTTTGTTTATTATTTTCCAATAACTAAGATGATTTACATTATAATTCAACTGTTAACTTTTGAATCATTATCTAAGAGTCATTCAATTTTATTATTAATTCATTCTTCTCTTATTTTAATTAATCCACTTAATTTAACATTATATAATTTTATTAATCAAAATGATCATACTAAAATTGTTATTACTCAATTGATGTTTCTAATTCATAAATCTAATTCAATAATGCTTAATTGTCATATTCTAATTATAAAATTCTTTCGCTTTTTTGATTCATCAATAACGTTAATTAATCCAATTCATTTATTAAAGTTTCCAACTAACCAGAGAATAATAATTTTTATCTATATGCACTTTATTATAATTATTATTCATAAGTCAATATTTATTGCTTCAATTACCTGTTATTCATTATCTGTTCATCTAATTATATTTGTAATCTTCTAGTCTTTTCTTTATATTGCTCTTCCAATTTACAAATGTAATTTTAAAATTGATTGACTTATGCTTTTAAATTTGATATTTCTGAGTGATAGAAATCATAACTTAATTCTATATGAGGTGTCTCTTAAGTACTTGAATTATGTTACCAATCTCTGACTGTATACTCTGACATAAGTAAATTTTAATTATAACAGCTAAATATTTTAATATATTCATGCATCATGTATTTTAATCATTTTTTTTAATACCAATAATTATCTAAGTTATCATTCTAGTACTTTAATGGATTTTTTCATTCTAAATTTACCTTCATTTGATTTAATAACATTGATCTCTTCTTCTGCCATTTCAATTTTTGTAGTTTAAGATCTTCTTTAATGATTTATAATTAGTATTCTGATTCTCATCAATATTTTAATACTAAATATTGTTAAAATTTTAATTGTTTTAATGTGAAATATAATCTAACTAAATGTTTTCATAATCTTCTATTTTATGAAAATATTAATATACATTCTGAAAGTATAAATATTCTAAATTCTCTACTTAGTTTAAATATTCATTTACTCAATAAACTTAGTCATTTGAAATAAAATTATATCATCACTAGCAATTAATGGTTTTTATCAATATTATATTTTTTAAAATTATGGATTAACATTTTTACTATTTGATTAATAGAGATTATCATATCAATTAAAACACATACCTTACTTTAATCTTAATGATATTTAATCGTATTATTAATTATTATATTATATTATAATCATTATGCAATACAAAATTAAGACTTTTCGTAAATATAATATTGACAGATCAGGTACATTATAATAACAATCATATTAGATCTTTTTAAGATTACTTATCAATCCCCTTAAGAGTTGAAACCATCAACTTCTTGTGAAGTTAGACGCTAATAATATAATAAAAAATTTACTACCGAAATTGAAAATGAAGATGATCCCCCAACCTAAATAATTGATCTATCCAAATTACCAAATGGATAATTTAAAGATAGAAGTAATATAAATATATATATATCTATTTTTCAGGATACATGCACACCGATGAGACATTCTTTGTTAAAATGGGAGGTAAAAATAGGGATCTAATTGCAGAAAAACTAAGATCTAAATAAACAGATAGATAGAGTCCATTCAAATTTAAAGGTACTTTTAATAAAATTGTTAATTTAGTTAGAAAATCCATTTTTCAATCAAAATTTCATCAAACAAACCCTTAAATTACAAAAAAATAGTTCTCCTATTTCATCTAAAACTATTCGAACATCACAAACTAAACTCTCATTTCTCTAAATAATTGATATCAAACCAGTCACTATTAAAGAATAATAATTAAGAAGAGCCTCCTCATTTACATCGGCAAAACAAAAGTTATTTAAGATTCTAACTGAAAAATCATGATATATAATTTTAGTTATAAAATAGTATACTTTATCTGCTTCATCATTTAGATACACTCTATTAAAAATTATATAAATATTTAAAATTTACATTCCTCATATTTTTAATCATTTAAATCATTAAAGAAAACAATTAATTACAAAATAAAAAGATAATATAAATCAAATAAGTTTGTCTAATGTTTTAGCTTAGAAAATCTAAGACAGAAATATTAGTAATACTCTCTTAATAAGAACCTAATCCACAAAACTGCTAATATGAATTGTCTCCAAAAATTACATCTTTTATTTATATAAATATCTATACACAAGAATTACTTAATAAACAAGAATTTACAATATCAAACTATTAATCATTAACAGTAGAACTAAACATAAGCAAAGATATGTTGAAGAAATTTAAGTTAAGTATCTATAATGTGAGAAATAATTATGAAATGAAGCAAATTGAATGAGATGCACTTCATGTTTTGAACCAAACCATAGTGATAATGGCAATTATTTATTTTTAAATTAAAAGGAGTTGTTGCATTAAAAGAAAATAGTCAAGAAATAGTTGAATAAATATTTAGTAAATCATAAAATAATTTCAAACTAGTGGAGTATTATAAATTTATAGCTCTATTATCTAGAATAAAAGTCACAAAATAATCATAATTTATACTTAAAAAATCCTATATATATCTTAGATTTTCAAGAATTCTAAGACATATTTAAAAGATATGCTATTATTTACAAAAGTAATAGCATCTAATAATTCAGATTGCAAAAAATGAGTGAATCATTAACTTGAGTAAAATTAGAAAGCTATTTTGTTTAACAATTAAAGATGGAAGAATTGTTAACTGTTATTTTTTTGAAGATTATACTTATTTTTTTTTAAAAGTAATTAAAATTTCTTCCACAGATCAATCAAAATAAACTAAAAAAATTTATTTAATTCAATGAGCCCATCAGCTGAGAATGAATTATATCTTAATATCACAATATTGCATATATATTTTTTCAATACTGCTCAGTTAGATTATCTAGCTAAAATAATGAAATTAGAAAAGAAATGTTTTCACTTGGGAACAGTAGAAAATATATGAATTAGTAATAAATACAATAAATAATTATAAAATGAAATTAATAATATATTTTATTTTATTTATGTTTAATGAATAATGATTATTAACTCATGCTAGTTATGCTGCATTAACTTTATTGCAAGTATCTTCTAATAAAGCTAAAAGTGTTTCTTCAGTAGATTCTCTATAATAATTATAATAATTAATAAAAACCTTTATTTCTTTTCATTATCTACTTCAGTTTTGATTCTATTAACAACATCTTTTAACATATCAAAGATTGCTTATTCTGATTCTTATCTATTAACTTTCTCTTAAACTAATAATTAGTTTAATTTGCTTAATTCTTCATTCATCTTTCTAGATATATTTGAATCCATTTCTTCTCTTTCTGCTACTTCTGTCTTTATAGCTTCATGTAATCTTGGTAAATCAGTTTCTAAACATTAATTCAATCTTTCAATATTTTCATTTCTTGTTCTACTTTCTGTACTTAATTCACTTCTTATTAATCCTGTCTTTTCTTCAATAAATCTTATTATTTTTTATTCTCCATCTTTTCTTGTTGATGTTAATCCTTCAACTGCCTAATTGAATGAATTCTCTAAATCTATATATTCCTTTTATTTTTATTCAAAATGTTATTCTCTTTATAATTTTGTTTAATCCAACACTTTCTATAATTTCAATACACTATCTTTAATCAAAACTACTCTTTAACTTAATTATTCATTTAATTCATTCAAACCTGATTCCAATTAATCTAATCTTGTTTCTGATTCTTCAATTCTTTTAGTCTAAATATTAATAATTATATATTACTCTCTCTCCTTCTATTGTTAAATCCATTTAACTTAATTAAGAACTTATTTTTGCTACTCTTTCTCTTGATGGTGAATAATCTAATATATTTTACTATACAATACTTCTATTGTTTGACATATCTAACTGATTATTTGAATTAAAAGATAATATTAATATAAATAAATTTATTGCTAATGCTTTATCAATGTATAACTCAATATATTTTAAAATTCATAGAAACTTAATTGATTTTTTTACTGCATTTGGAGATAACACTTTATTTAGCAATACAATAATAACTTCAATTAGTTAATCGAGTCAAATACAAAAGTTAAGTTATTATTCTTTATCATTTTTGTTAGCAATAAATTATATTATTAATTGATTGCTATCAGANTTATCTAGCTAAAATAATGAAATTAGAAAAGAAATGTTTTCACTTGGGAACAGTAGAAAATATATGAATTAGTAATAAATACAATAAATAATTATAAAATGAAATTAATAATATATTTTATTTTATTTATGTTTAATGAATAATGATTATTAACTCATGCTAGTTATGCTGCATTAACTTTATTGCAAGTATCTTCTAATAAAGCTAAAAGTGTTTCTTCAGTAGATTCTCTATAATAATTATAATAATTAATAAAAACCTTTATTTCTTTTCATTATCTACTTCAGTTTTGATTCTATTAACAACATCTTTTAACATATCAAAGATTGCTTATTCTGATTCTTATCTATTAACTTTCTCTTAAACTAATAATTAGTTTAATTTGCTTAATTCTTCATTCATCTTTCTAGATATATTTGAATCCATTTCTTCTCTTTCTGCTACTTCTGTCTTTATAGCTTCATGTAATCTTGGTAAATCAGTTTCTAAACATTAATTCAATCTTTCAATATTTTCATTTCTTGTTCTACTTTCTGTACTTAATTCACTTCTTATTAATCCTGTCTTTTCTTCAATAAATCTTATTATTTTTTATTCTCCATCTTTTCTTGTTGATGTTAATCCTTCAACTGCCTAATTGAATGAATTCTCTAAATCTATATATTCCTTTTATTTTTATTCAAAATGTTATTCTCTTTATAATTTTGTTTAATCCAACACTTTCTATAATTTCAATACACTATCTTTAATCAAAACTACTCTTTAACTTAATTATTCATTTAATTCATTCAAACCTGATTCCAATTAATCTAATCTTGTTTCTGATTCTTCAATTCTTTTAGTCTAAATATTAATAATTATATATTACTCTCTCTCCTTCTATTGTTAAATCCATTTAACTTAATTAAGAACTTATTTTTGCTACTCTTTCTCTTGATGGTGAATAATCTAATATATTTTACTATACAATACTTCTATTGTTTGACATATCTAACTGATTATTTGAATTAAAAGATAATATTAATATAAATAAATTTATTGCTAATGCTTTATCAATGTATAACTCAATATATTTTAAAATTCATAGAAACTTAATTGATTTTTTTACTGCATTTGGAGATAACACTTTATTTAGCAATACAATAATAACTTCAATTAGTTAATCGAGTCAAATACAAAAGTTAAGTTATTATTCTTTATCATTTTTGTTAGCAATAAATTATATTATTAATTGATTGCTATCAGANTAAGACATATTTAAAAGATATGCTATTATTTACAAAAGTAATAGCATCTAATAATTCAGATTGCAAAAAATGAGTGAATCATTAACTTGAGTAAAATTAGAAAGCTATTTTGTTTAACAATTAAAGATGGAAGAATTGTTAACTGTTATTTTTTTGAAGATTATACTTATTTTTTTTTAAAAGTAATTAAAATTTCTTCCACAGATCAATCAAAATAAACTAAAAAAATTTATTTAATTCAATGAGCCCATCAGCTGAGAATGAATTATATCTTAATATCACAATATTGCATATATATTTTTTCAATACTGCTCAGTTAGATTATCTAGCTAAAATAATGAAATTAGAAAAGAAATGTTTTCACTTGGGAACAGTAGAAAATATATGAATTAGTAATAAATACAATAAATAATTATAAAATGAAATTAATAATATATTTTATTTTATTTATGTTTAATGAATAATGATTATTAACTCATGCTAGTTATGCTGCATTAACTTTATTGCAAGTATCTTCTAATAAAGCTAAAAGTGTTTCTTCAGTAGATTCTCTATAATAATTATAATAATTAATAAAAACCTTTATTTCTTTTCATTATCTACTTCAGTTTTGATTCTATTAACAACATCTTTTAACATATCAAAGATTGCTTATTCTGATTCTTATCTATTAACTTTCTCTTAAACTAATAATTAGTTTAATTTGCTTAATTCTTCATTCATCTTTCTAGATATATTTGAATCCATTTCTTCTCTTTCTGCTACTTCTGTCTTTATAGCTTCATGTAATCTTGGTAAATCAGTTTCTAAACATTAATTCAATCTTTCAATATTTTCATTTCTTGTTCTACTTTCTGTACTTAATTCACTTCTTATTAATCCTGTCTTTTCTTCAATAAATCTTATTATTTTTTATTCTCCATCTTTTCTTGTTGATGTTAATCCTTCAACTGCCTAATTGAATGAATTCTCTAAATCTATATATTCCTTTTATTTTTATTCAAAATGTTATTCTCTTTATAATTTTGTTTAATCCAACACTTTCTATAATTTCAATACACTATCTTTAATCAAAACTACTCTTTAACTTAATTATTCATTTAATTCATTCAAACCTGATTCCAATTAATCTAATCTTGTTTCTGATTCTTCAATTCTTTTAGTCTAAATATTAATAATTATATATTACTCTCTCTCCTTCTATTGTTAAATCCATTTAACTTAATTAAGAACTTATTTTTGCTACTCTTTCTCTTGATGGTGAATAATCTAATATATTTTACTATACAATACTTCTATTGTTTGACATATCTAACTGATTATTTGAATTAAAAGATAATATTAATATAAATAAATTTATTGCTAATTTATTTTGCTTAAATATCATTTTTAACGAGTTATTTAAACTATATCCTAATTTAATAGGTAGTTTTAAATTTAACAATTTTTTTCGATACTTTTTTTTTAACTAGTTGTTTTTAAC